TCCTCTTCTTCTCTCACAGCGCGCTCCGTTTCGCGGTCCATCGAAATCCGAGACCGAGACGTGACGTAGGTGCGTGCATGCGTGTGCGTGTATGCGTGTGCGTGCATGCGGCTGCTGCGCGCATGCACGCGGGAACGTGTGTGCGTGGGCGCGTGTAATCGTGTATACGTGTGTGTGTGTGTGTGTGTGTGTGTGTGTGTGTGTAGATGCACGCGCGGGTGTGCGCGCTAAGCGAAGGCCATGTCCGACAGGCTACGGCTACTATTCTGTGACGGATGACTTTTGAAAGGTAAACAGGCGAAGGAAGACAAATTAATACTCACGGTTTTCCGTCGGCGCGGCGGTCCAGCCGCTTCCCCACGATTTTCCCCCGTCGTGTGCGTGTGACCCGGCGATTATTTGATTTTGCACAGTAACATTATTGTGCGTCCAGTGAGAAAAAAAAAAGGAAAGAGAGGGAAATGGGAAGGGGAGAGGAGAGGGGGGAGAGAGAGAGAGAGAGAGAGAGAGAGAGAGAGAGAGAGAGGGAGAAAAAGAACGTAACGAACGACAGGGAAAATGCAGGGGGGAGGGGAGGGGAAGAGAGATGAAGATAGAGAAAAACGGAGGGAAAGAGGCGGAGGGTGAAGTAGGGGAGAGAAAAAGATACACACCGAAGAGCGGTTGCTTGATCAAAAGCACAATTTTCGTGACGTCATCGGCGGTCGAGCATGCGCGAACGTATTTCGGTGATTTTCCACGCACAGTGAAACACGTGCGACGAGTCGGTCGACGCCACTGCTACTACCGCACACAGCACTACATATCGCTAAGAAACGCGCGGCATTATCGCGTAGCGGCGGCGGCACGGGCTTCCACAAATACCGAGCGCGATTCGCGAGAACCACCGCGGCTGCCGACATCTATCCATCCACTCCCACTTGTTAAGTGACGTACACTGACGTCACCGATAGTTTACCTTGAAGCCGCGTGACATTGAGCCGCAGGCCGGCCAATCGCGATTTCAGCGCTGCGAAAATCCCACGGTCGCGCAGGTCGGGTTTTCATTGCGCGCGACAGCTCGTTTAAACGCGCACCAGCGCACGATAACGATCGGCCACGGAAAGACGAGCCGCGAAGACGAGATCCGATCCTTCGAAATTTAAAATCGACCTTTACTAAATTTTAATTAAACTTTAATTAAATTAATCGACGATCGATTGATTCGACAACGTGGTGGAATTGCTTCCAGCGAAATTTTTTAATTTGTAATCTAATCTTCCCTTCGGTCAAATGCGATTGCTTTTTTAATAAAAAAAACCTAATGTATCTATAAATGATTCTGAGCTTCTAGTGAGAAGTTCGATAACGGTAGAAAATCATTTCATATACTGCTAAAAAAATATAATTAGTCTTTTGGTTGACTGGATACCTGCGAGGAAAGAATGATTTTTCTAGAGTATCTAAACATTTAACTAGAATTGAAAATAATTTTGTTGGACTATAAAAATAATCATATAGAAATCTTAGGTATAATGAGCAATATTGCAAAAAGTTTTAACATTTTAGCATCAGTTTGAACGTTATACAACTATTTTCATAAGGTAAGAAAATTATTTTCAGATCTGTATCTAACTAAATTTTTAAATACCGCAGCAAAAAACCAGGTGTTAAAAAAATAACAGTTATACAGTTATATAGCTATTGTATTTTTTTTTTAAAGAACATGAACTGAAGTTTAATAAAATTATCGAGATCTTTTGTAAAATAACTATGATTTTGAAACTATTAATTTATTATTGTTATTATTTCGAGTACCTGAATAAAACAAGAACGATAAGTAAATGCTATAACGATTAATGTAAATGCGTAGTGTAGAATTATTACACGCTAAAATTAAAGTGTCGTTTAAACTTAGAATGCACTTAATATGCATTATATCGTGGATTAATCGCTTTCGTGCTCGAACAGAAGAAAGATTAAGTCGATATCCCTGCGACTGTGATTATTTCAAAGTATTCCCCGCGGCGAATGTAACCCTTCCGCTTGTAATGGAGGACAAAGTGCGTCATTAACATATCACGATCTTATGTAATTAAATATAGCAATATTTATAAAGTCATTATACCCTTGAAAAAAAGAGCCAATATTTTAAGAATGTGATAAACAGTTTCTACAACTAAATTCGCGACTTACTATTGGTATAGAATTGACGAAACGTAACAATCCATTTCCTGTTCAATATTTATCAGTGAAAAGTCGCACAGTGAAAATTAGCTTCGTATCGCTAAAGTGCATAAGTATAATATTATTAGGAGAGGAACAAGGATAAAAAGGTCTCCTCGACAATATTAGATATATTGAGAAAAAGATATTTAAAAATTTAGTTGTGGCGTACATTTCACTATATAAACTCTTATTTTGAAATATATAAATCTCTATTTTGAATACAAAGAAAAATTTTATTTCTAGTAAATAAACCGTCTATTTCATTTTTTATTCTTTTGCTTTGTTTTCTCTTTTTGTTTTATAATTAATAAACACAAATGAAATATATTTCACAGAAATAAATATTCTGTTATCACAGTCAAATTTTGTCGTGACCAATATAAATGTAACATTGCTTTTAAATATTTCAATTTTTTTTCTCGGTATACACCTCAATCATCTCAATTATTGCCCAGACAACAAAAAGTCTAAGATGGAGACATAAATAAAATATTTTAAAAATATCTTTAGACACTTCTTCTTAAAAAATATCCTTAAGACACGTGATATCATATGTCTGGTTTGTGTTGTCTGAATCGATATCGCAATCTAATACACATTTGTTCTTATACATTTCAAAACTTATTCGTAATTTTATATGCATAGAAATCATTGGTATATCAACACATTGGCATCTCAGTGTTTTTAATATTCATTTAAAGTAATTAATTAATTATTACCTTTTGGTATTAAGTTTCTATGAGGACAATGCAAGCCTAAATTTATGATGCATGAATGGTAATGATGTCACATGCACTACATCACATTTTGACTTGAAATCAATTACCTTCTTTTTTGTTTCAGATACATTTTTATACGCGTGTTCGTTTGATTAGCATTTTTTTTTCTCGACGCGCGGCGGAATTTCTTTAAGAAACTTGTATCATTGAGATTTTCTAAACGAGGAACGAGGAGGTGTGCTATTTCGTCGACATCGTGCGCGACGTCATTCGCACGAGACGGGCGCTAAACTGCCTCTCGTGTTTCTCGTGCTAACTAGTAATAAACGCATATTCACACGAAACCTCGACGTATCGCGACATTTATATGCATAATTCTCGAGATCACATGCGAAAATCCGTGATACAGCTTGCCTGCATAATGCACGATCTCGCACAAGAGAGAGACCTTAAGGATATCTCGTCGCAATGTTATTTGCACTTTTAATTTCGAAGAAAAAAAAAACGCTGAATTTCTCGAGTATAATTTTTAACATCGCAAAATTCTCCCATATTTTCGACTTTCAAATTCGATTTATAAATTAAATTATAATATTAAAATATAAATATGACTCCAATGAATAAATCAATAAAATGTAAAACGCATGTGCAAGCCTCTGCAGTTTTTGATGCATGCGTAAAAAAATCAAACCAACAATTAAACTTCTTGGTGTATCCAATATATTAAGTAAGAGATATACAAACGTTTCGATCCTTCATTCGGATCCTCTTCAATACATTCAACAAATATATATGATGATAGAATGTGAATAGACTATAATCTCTCCTCTCGATAGTCTTTCAATATCGAAACAGTCAAATGATGAGACAACGATCAAAATAACGTAAAAAGAGTAGTAAAAAGAGAGATTATGTCTTTCAAAGTGATATGTAAAGATTTGTAATTTAACAATAATAGGTCTGTTCATGTTGCATAAAATCTCCAAAAATTGTTTACATTTAAAAGAAGATAAATATATATTCGTATATCGAAGCGAGAGAAAGCGAAGATGCTAAGTGCAAAAAGTACAATCAACACAAACAGATCTCATGTAACTTTTTCTCTAAGACGGAAATCTAAAAAATGAAAAATTTCAGTAATAAAAATTTTCACGTTTTTATACATTTCTATCTTAAGGAAATAATTACATAATTGCTATCTTGGATATTGACTTGAAATGTCAGTGTTTATGCTTAAATTATTACCTTTTAGAGAAGGAACGAAACTGATAGTTGACAATAATACCAGTACTGTCTAAAATTTAATTGTCAGCGATGTCCACGCACACTGCATTTCTTTTTCTCATTGATGATAAAAATATATAACCGGTGTTCACGCTTATTTTTCTAAATTTCTAAATAATTTTCTAATGTGCACGAACGTCGATATCAAGTCCCACAATTACAAATTTTGGATAGCATTGGGTATAATTTGCAGTTTCGTATACATGCAGAGTCATTAATATTTTAACATATGAATTTATGCGCATACCGAGAACTTATTATAATTCTTGAGGTGGAAATACAAAAGTGAGCGAATTTACTCAAATATTTATACCTTCATCGGTCAACACGGTCGATACTTAGTGAATTTGCTTACTTCTGTAATTTTTACCTTTTTTTCAAGAACTATATATATAATAAATTCCCAATATATTATATATACGTTTTCCATAGACGCTTTAATAAGCGACTTATAGGTCGTGACATAAAAAAAATAAAAATATCATAAAGTAGTAAAATGTAAATAATGAACGGCCAATTATAATAGAGAACTTAATCCAAAATTTGGATATGCATATCGCTAATGTCTTAATTGCTTAAAACTTTTTGTGTGCCATGATTCTAAATGTTGAAATATTAACGACTCTGTGTAGGCATACAAATATATGTATACGTCTAATTAGCTTTTTTTTTCCCCCCTTTCTCTGTATTTTTTTCGCTGTATGTATTGTGTCGATCGCGCGTAGAGAAATGAGCCACAAAGAATTAACAAACGAAGATGATAAAACAAATGGAAGACGAATGTACATGGCACAGGTCGCGAAAAAAACATTAGGAGCATGTTCGCAGTTTCCTTATGAGGTAAATTTCTTGTGAAACGAAATAGCAAACCCACATTAGACATAGAGAAACCCCACGTGCAGCGCGTGACTCGTTAAATACTGATGTTTCTAGCGCGTGATAAAATTGCAAATCAAGTCTCTGAAGATGAATGCTAGACATTGTGAGTATCGCAGAGACAGATAATCTTTTATGACAGATATTCATCATTTTATAATGTCACACGGCACTATCTTTAAATTTATCGAAGGCAAAAAAAAAATTTTTAACAAGTAGAGAGAGTAGATTAAAAATTCGGGATTACCAAGAATTTATATTCTTAATCCAAAATATTGTAACTTAGATGATAATCTGTAAATTTGAATTTTTATAAAATTACGGATTGTTTTGCAAAATATTTTTAGTAAAATTTATGTTATTAAAATTATAATGTTACTGTAAAATTTTTCTTCCTTCTTTTTACCCTTGCTTTAGACTTCATTTAGACGTTATCATAAAAGTTCATCAGCTTTCGTAATTATATATGATAATTATTAAATTATCGGTGTTAGTAAATTTTATCACGTAAATTATATATTTTTTTATTATAAAAAAAATATAAAAGGCTTAGTTTCTCTCATACATTCAACGTGAACGTATAATCTGATACAATTAAAAAAAAAAAAGAGGTATATCGCGTCATCTATGTGCGTTTTTTAGTAATATCACTAGATATTCCTCTTCTGCATGCAAGAAATTAAATGTCCCTAAAAAATTCTTAAGTTATCAACACAGTTGTTTCGATCTGCTACTGAGTGTCATGTGTACTCTCGTTATTTTTGCAATATTGTGAATTTCACGATAATTTAACCATTCGCCATTGTTAAAATGAATATCCAAATATGTTAGTGAGGACGATTTGAGGCAACAAAAAAGATAAAAATAACGTACGTCAACGCGCTAATATATGGTAAATAACTTTTACTGACACGTGTATGTTTATCTTGGATTCGAGTTTACACTTTGTTTCGAAATGAGTTTTTTTTTTACATTTTTGTAAGTGCCCCGGAAATTTGGAATTGCTAGTGAATAATAATGTTTATGCATTATGTCATTATGCACTTATTATCTGAAGATAGTATAATGTATTTCTACTGTATTTGATACTAAAACTTTTTAAGTTAATAGTGTACAGAATGAATTGCAAAAAAATGCCGAATAGAGTAAAGTTTCTCATGTTCTGCATGTATACATAAAACTACAAATTACTTAAAAAATTATATATCAAAAGTTGTATATCATTATGTCGCTACGCATGTATCTTCTGAAGATAACGTAATGTGTTTCAATTATATTTCACATACCAAAACTATAATTTAATAAATGCAATAGGTCTGTTTTCTGCAGTCAAACTAGTGTTTATTTTTGGAACTTCAAATGAAAGGTACATATTTGATATCTGGCGAAAGCGAAAGGAAGAAAATTCTATATAGTATAGTCTTAACAGAATTTAAAAAACTGACTTAATAATACTATACTTTTGATAATATATAATTTTTTAAACTGTAATTTTTTTATGCTTACACGTGCAGCAGCATAAAAACTGTATCATTTTTGGATTATTCAATCTACATATTAATATACTCAATAATATGCAATTTTATATATTATTCCCATATATGACAGGATATTAATATTTTTGTACAGGTATAAAAGGTAAATAAAACAATGGCATATTCTGATCAGAATCACGAGATACCTAAAGGTATCAGAGCAAGACAGAATGGACACTATGAGATTCCAGGAGAAAAAACTGCAACCAAGACAGGCTTAGATATATTATATACATCTCGGATAGACCGCGGTATAATTGAGGAAGACGTAGAAAGAAAGATAACGTCACTGAAACAATTACTGGAGAAAGATCTAAGGGCTGCCGATTTAAAATGGTCCCTTTTTGTAGCAGCATCCAACACTTACCGTTACGACAGTTGTTTAAAACCGTTTCCACCTATGTATATCAAGAACGAGTGCAAGGATATCGAAGCATTGGTATTATCCTTAATATTTTTAAAATAGTATATAATATTTATCTGATATATCCCTTTCTCTACAGAGAAGAGTCATAGAGTCAGTCCCTCCTTTGCCCGTGATATGCAAAGAACTCGGTGAGACAGATGTCTACCAAAATTACGGTGAAATAATAGAGCTATTATATTGGGTACTGTTACGATTAAGAGATCCATACATCAAAAGTATACAGAAAGAATGCGTAAGTATATATATCACAATTTCCAAAATTTCAAAAATCAAAAGGATACACCACAGTATGGTATAAAATTTTAGATAAATATTTATATTACAGTACAGTTCCATACTGAGGAAAGTGCCATTGGAAGTGCCGGTTGCAGCACCAAATCTTATATTTCAAATAGCAAATGCGAAACAATCTACATCAGAAGAGAAATGGAAGTCAAATGCTAAAGGTCATTCGACATTTTATGCGTATCACGGCAGCCGTTTGGAAAATTTCCATTCCATCGTACATTATGGTTTACAACAAAACATGTGCAAAGTGCAGTAAATTTATATTAAATTAAATTGGAATTATTTTTGTTATTTTATATTTTTTTTTGTACTACTAAAATTACACAAAATTAAACTTTCTTATTGCCATAAAGTTATAAAAAATTAGCATAAACTTAATTTTGTTATTTCAGAGATCAGAGTTTGGCAAAGGAATATATTTTTCAAGTGAATTAGGAGTGAGCTTACCGTACAGTCCTGTGGGTTATGGTTGGGGAGGTAGTCTTCTTGGAAGCGAGATAAGCTGTATAGCTCTCTGTGAGCTTATTAATCATCCTGATATAAAGAGAGGAGATTCGAGTAAGCGCACAATGTATCTACGAGAGTGATAATAGTTTATAGTATATCAAGGTTTAAAAAGAAAGTTTCTGCAATAGTTTTATGTTTCAGGAGATAACTCACAAAATACATTGAGTGATTCAGTTGGTGGAAGAATACCAGACAAGTACTTTGTAGTGACAAATAGCGACTTAGTAAGGATGCGCTATTTGCTCGTTTATACTCAAGATCTCCATACAACTAGGTAAGTTAGACATAATATTATATAAGCATTAACTAAGCTTTACGTTGCCACACAATCATTGCTATAAAAATCTTACTACTTTAGTAGTGATAGTACGGGATTGCTGGCATGGTTCAAGCAACACAAATTACTGACATTTGTGCTCGGCTACGTCGTGCTGTTAGCCTCAGTTGGACTAACACAGAACAAACAAGTAGAGAAATACTATAGGTTATTTATTCAGAAAGCAGGATTTGAATAAAAGAAGGATAAGAATATAAATTTATACAATTTGATTGCTCTAAGTTGAAGTCTTGATATGAAAGAAAAAAGGTTACAAATGCCACATTTTCATGAAATTAGACTGTATGTGCCAAGATTAATATCATCTAAAAGCAAGTAAAAAGCTGCAAATGCTTTAAAATTATATAAAAGAAAAAATCTTTTAATAGCATTTCTGTGATTTGCATTTTTGGCATTTATAGCCTTTTTACCTTACTACCGACTTATCAAGTCTTCGATTATATTGAACTCATTCAAACAATTCATATGTGTGAAAAATATCATCTTTTATATACATTTTTTAAATATACATGTGATAATTAAATAAATATTTTTTATGCTAAAGATGTATATATACGAACATACTGTTTTATACAAAATGTTTTTATTTCCATAACTTTTAGTATCGTGAGAGTATGATAGGAAAATTCTCAGTGACCAAATAATCATCTTCAAACACAACGATAAGGTTTACTTCAAATTCTGGAAAAATATTAAATTACAACTCTATAATTCACATTTTTGTTTCAATGCATAACCTGCAATATTCTTACCAACTTTGAAGTTGCTTGTGCTTAAAGTGGGGCATGTAAATAATCTTGGAAATATCATGTAGATTGGTATAGCAAGATTTGTGCAAGCATTGCCCTCCCCGATTTGTATATTTTGTATCTCCGTCGCTGTAAAAATACAATCTTGTCAATCTTGATCTGTTACCGCAGTTATTGCAATGTATCCATTTTTACACGGATCCAATCGCATAATTATTTTTTTACCATCTCTAGAGTATCCTTCTGCACATCCACAAGTTTCCACCCTCACTAATTGTAATTCTATAGATTTTATAACAGCCTCACACTGTTCGATCACTACCTGTATATACAAATAATAGATAAAAGTACAATATTCTGATATTAATAAATTGAAAAAAGTCACATACTTCTCCTGTCAGAGGTTCAGAGAGTTTGCAATACAAAGAGTCTAATCTTCCCGAAATGCAAAATCTTGGTACATTAGGCCTGTCCCGAGTATTTTGCAGAGACTCCGGCATTATTTTGAAGAATACAATCTTACTATGATCCTTCTCCACTTTAGCACTTGCTTTATCCTCTACTATAAATTCCAATGACTTGCTGACATCTTTTGCAAGGAAGCTTCTTTTTATATCACAGCGTATCAAGTATTGTATATTCACAAAAACACCATGATACGTTTCGTAAAGAGATTTGTTTCCTCTTGGCTTTAATGGCAATTCGAATGGTATTTCCGTCTTACCACTGGGAATTTTTCCAGATGGAGCAACATCTAGCGTATATTGTACTAATTGTATCGGCTGAAAATAATTATGATTTATGCAATAAAAAGTTAGTCTCTGCTATATTTACATTAAGAGAAAAATAAAAATTAAATTTAAAAAAAAGTAATTCAGCAGTTTCCTTGTATCAATATTTATATATACATCAAAGTACTTACTTTAACGGAATTATAAAATGCTTCGAAAATACCGACGTTCTTGGAGCTAAGCTGCAAATTCACCGAACCTTCCATGGTGAGAAATATACCATCGTGCTTCACGTCTGAGTTAGTTTTTAACTGTATCAGGCCAGCAACTACCTCCTGCAATATATAACCTCAATTTTCATTTCAAATATCCACAATTTAACAAGAAAATAAAAGAACCAACCCCTTCGTGATATATTTTACTCGCGCGTTTCAATTTTATGTCTATATTGATAGACATTTTGCGGATAATCCCTTTTTTTGACACTTGTCAAAGAGTACCGAAGGTATCAGCTCATCTGTTACGAGAAAATACACGCCAAGTGATTAATCACTATATATTAATTCCATATATTTTATTTCATATGTTCAATGCAAAAAAGAAGATAAATAATCACTGCTGAATTACGTATGTACACGAGCTTTGACAATTTCGGAAAGCATCAGATCGATACGAATCGTCACTTACGATCAGCTGTTCGTAGACAAGCTGATAGGTTATGAGGGTGTGAGAGTGACAACTATGCGAATCGAGACGTCTGTCTCGCTTTGTAAATAATTAATATAATATTGTAATTAATGTACCGTAATTAATGTAATGTACACAGTAATTATATAATGTAATTTATATATAATATTATTATATCTATACAGTAAACTGTTTCTGTATACAGGATCTCATTCATCACCGGTCGATCTACTTTTTGAATAAAACTCAAACGGTTGAAGATCGTGATTTTTCGTAATACGCCTGAATAATTTGCACGCGTTCTTTCACCGTATACTTTTCCATGATTAATTTCCCATCTGTCTAGATGACGTGAAGTTTGTCTATGTGAAGTTTGAGATAATCGTTTGACGTTTTAAAAATAGCGCGAAATTCAAATCGACCGGTGATGAATGGAACACCCTGTATTTACTCCGACCATGGATTGTTCGGGGCATGCTCACGCACTGTAAGCTTCATTCTATAAATTATATTTATAGATTCCTTCTGTAAATTATAATGAAGCTTATACAGCATGTGAGCACCAGAATCGAAATATACAATATTTGATTGATTCTGGACAAGTTATTGGCATCACAAATGTTACACTCTCAAGAAAAGTATCGAATTGAGTAAATATATGAACTGTTTCCACGCTATTGATGATCTTTATGAACAGTTCGATATACAGATCGATATACGAAACCGATATTTATATAGATCGTAAAAAATAATTACACTTGCAACAACTTTTAAGTACCCATACGGAATTCTTGTAGGGAGGACTTGTGGTCTAAAATATATCATAAATTACAAAATATAACTACTATCATTTTCAGCTGTAGAATGACGGTAGAACTGATTAAAAAATAAGACAAATTGAAAATATTTGGATATATACCACATCCAAAGATATATACGATAATCTTTCGAAAAGCAAAGATAAAAAGTGAAATGATTATAAAGTAATATTAATAATAATTTCTCCTCTACATATAGTAAAAGATAATTATATTAATGCTTCTTTTTGTTTCTTTTTTTCACGCGTTTTAATACTCTAATAAAGTATAGCTCAAATGCGTCTGCTTTCTCGCGTCTCTACATTTTTTGATCGTTTTTGTTGCAGAAAACCGTCACTTCATTCTTTGACAACTTTCGAGCTGCTTATTAGACTTTTACGAGCAAATTTTTAAAGTATCAAAGGGAATTTTATTCCTCCGAGATGACTCGACCAATGAAGGAGGGACAGGTTGGGTAAGCTTATATAGACGCGGCGCGGCGGAGCTATAATCCTTGCTGCGCAGGCGCGCATTTGCTTTATTCTGCGCCGGCTTCCTGCATTAACAAATTCAAATCGGGGAAGTCGTTACTTACACGAGAGTTGAAACAGACTTGACCTCCTGTAGCGACTTACTTCTGAAAGGAAGAGACGGAGATTTGTGTCTGCAACGGAAACAAGGGCTTCTGCGCGATTGTGACTGACTATGGCGACAAGAAATCGGACCGCTATCACGGTGAGCACGAGATTATAATTTGCAAGCGCGGAAAAATCCGCGTGTTGATAATGGACAGGTATCAACGGTCCAGCAGTTGTCCTAACGCCTGACATCTTTAAATACCCCCTCGCATGCTTAAATGCCATCCCAATTATGACCTCGGGTTTCATTATTTTCAATATCAGTAATCTCTTAATTTCATTCCAATAATTTTGGATCTTACGAAAACTCCCCAAGCGGATAATTTTTGTTGAAATAAATTTAGAAAAATAATAACGTGGGAAGTTTCTCCCTTGTGTGTCAATGTTATAAAATTTTTACGTATGAAATAGAAGGCGTTTACGCATAATATTAGCGTCATATTAGCATTCGACGACGTATAAATTGTTTATAAATTAATTAGAGATATTAGCCATTCAGTACAAAGGGACTATTGGAGGGGGACTATCCAAGGGGCTAAAGACATCCCCATGTTCTGAAGATGTTCTCAGAATGTTTCTAGAATAAAGTATGCTGTATGGGTAATATTTTTATTTAATTTATAAACATTATGTAAATGTAAGAATTACATGTAGCTTGAATTTGCACCATTGTTCCATAACTATTGAACTGCTCCATATGCTGCTTCATATGATATCAAGAGGAAAAATTTTAATAAGAATATATATCACTTTTTCTATTTATACAGTAATTAACAATAACATAACTGTAACATAATTTTGTTACACACACACACACACACACAAACAATATAACTATTATATTGTTGAGTAGGAAATTATAACTGACAGTATATAATTGTTAAAGATAGAATATCATTCTTTTAAATTTTACCTTTAAAATTTTGTTTTCTACATGTGTTTCAGAACCATACAAACCAGGAAAATATCAAAAGTATAAAACCTTCGGTGGTTGTTGTACCATCAAGAGGAAAAAGAGCCGTACTAGGTGAAATAAGTAACAGGGTTAACACGTTGAGGGGTGTCGAGCCCATTGATAGGGTTAGTTTATTACAAAGGAAGAAAGTGCCAATATCGAAACGGCAAGCTTTAAAGCCAAATGTAAATCCACCTGAAAAGCCAAACGTAAATCCATCTGAAAAGCCAAATGTAAATCCATCTGAAAAGCCAAACGTAAATCCATCTGAAAAGCCACCAGTGCAAATCGTAAAACCAATTGTAAAAACAATATCATCTTCCAATGTAAATATTGCTTGCAATGTAGTCAATGTACCAGCTGCTCTTATTAGTCAAAAGAGAGAAGAGAGAAATTCGTTTTCAACGGATTTATTAAAATTTGAAGATATTGACGAGCAAGACAAGAATAATCCTATTCTAGTTTCTCTCTATACTAATGACATACATGAATATTTAAGGACGTTAGAGATTAAATTTACTATTAAGAAGGGATATCTAGCGGGCCAGGAAGTCACTCCTAAGATGAGATGCGTATTGATAGATTGGTTGGTAGAAGTGCATCAACAATTTAGATTGATGCAAGAGACATTGTATCTCACCATCGCAATTATCGATCGCTTCTTACAAGTAAGACAAATATAATATAATATGTCGCAATAAAAGTAAATATCTTTTAATGTTATAAAGAAATTATATGCATACATTTAAATGATTATGTGTATATTTTGTTCTTACAGTTGTTTCGATCTATAGATAGGAAGAAATTACAGCTAGTAGGTGTAACAGCTATGTTTATCGCTAGCAAGTATGAAGAAATGTACTCGCCAGATATAAGTGATTTTGTATATATCACGGACAAAGCATATTCAAAGATAGATATATTGAATATGGAAATGCTTATTGTGAAAACTTTGGACTATTCGCTCGGGCGACCATTACCGCTGCATTTTCTTCGAAGATATAGCAAAGCTGGAAAGGTATGATATGTATATAAATATACGAAAATTTTTATCTTTATTGTTCCATTTATGTTATTTGTAATTAGCACTGTAATTTTATATAAATAAAGTCTAAATGATTTTTAAGGCGCTCCCTATACATCACACGATGGCTAAATATTTTCTTGAGGAAAGCTTGGTTTATTATGAAATGTGTCATTATCCACCAAGTCTCATCGCTGCAGCTGCGATATACCTAGCATTTTTGTAAGTAACTAAATCATCTTATGCTATAAATTTCTTAAGTCTTCGATTAATAGATAATGTTTGTTCATTAGAATTATCGGTAATGATGAAGAAGACGAAGGCAAGATTATTTGGTCAGACACTCTTGCATACTATAGTACTTACTCCAAGGACGATGTGTTACCTGCAGTACACGATATAGCTGCCATAATAACCAATGCAGAAAACAGTAAATATCAAGCTGTGAGGAAGAAGTACGTTCATGTGAAACACATGAAAATTAGTATTCGACCAGAACTTAAGTCGCCAATTATGCTTTCCATTGCAGGAAAAAGCAATAAGTCATAAATTTGTAATAAAACAATAGAATTTGTGAACTCGCTATTTCGAGATATTTTCAATAAGATGTTTGTTACATTATACGTCATATCGATGAATGACTATGGACATTATAGTTCTTGGAAAATTACATCGAAAAATAAATTAAGATAAATAGAATTTTTATCATAAAGTGATGAATGTTGTATGAGTTGGACATAGCATGTACA